ATCACAATCACAAACTAGCTGCTAGAATGTCCAAACGTTTTGTAGCATTGCATTATGCTATTTATGTAATTGTTTTGATAACCCAACACAAAATATTTTCCAGTCTGTATCTAACTAAATTTTTAGATACTTCAACAAAATCGTTCTTTCCGTATTATATAAAATTGCTCGATAATTTCAAAAGTTGTATATCAAATTGGTTGGAACGAAAATTCCTGTGCTCGAATTAGAGTTTCGTTTCTCGTGATATCGCATCTCATTGCGTTTCGTCGTTCGTTACGGCCGGTACACAAACGATGCCGCGCGACGATAAAGCGACGCACGAAGCTATTGGCTATCGTAATTTGTCCGGCGATGTCAGAGAACTCTTAACTCCCCGTCCATATCGGAAACGGCGTGAAAACGGCGAACGCTATTAGAGAGGCGATCGTGTGTACACCAGTCCGCGGATTGGTTGCGATGCAATTACGCACGGCAGGGTGGGCGGTCGGTCGGTCGGGCGAAGGTGTTAAATTCACTGGATGTGTATCCTGGGCGAGCGAGCCCCATTCTGGGCGGTAGCCGACACAAATCCGATCGTATTTTCATCGACGCCAAATTGGCAATATCCTCGCCGGTGACGATTCCTGAATTATGCATCAGCCTCGGGGACAGTCGCTCCGAAGTTTATCCATCCCGCTTGTTTCCACCGAGAAGCTCGACCCGCTCGGCTCTCTTCCACGCAGAGAGTTTTCTCCCCTTCCCGTCTCCTCGTCCTCCACCGCCTCCTCGTCCTCCACAACCTCCTCTTCCCCTTCATCGCTTCACTTCCTCCTCGTCTCCCTCCTTCGGAACCCCCTCGGAACATTGCACGTCTCGTCTCTCTCGCCGAATTGCCACCCCCTTTCGAGCTCCCTACCCTCCGCACCCTTTCTCGGTTGGAAACGTCACTTATTGGTCGAGCGAGAGGGTGGAAAAAGAGACGATACCCTCGAATCCGACCAATCACGGTGAACGCCCGTGATAATGCTCGCGATATCTTGCACCGGTGAAACCTGCCGCGAGAGGAGAACACCGTGGGAGAAGTTTCCGCGAGCGCGCGAGATAACTCTCATCGAAAGCGATTTCGGCCGAGACCGTTCTCTTGGATCCCCCAATTGATATAATACTACACTGAAATGTATGTATATACCGAGTACATTTTTAATATTACTCTCTCTCTTAATAAAAATTATAATATTTTTTATCAAACATCCACTAAAATAGTTTTTTTGATCGATCTGTATCAGTTCGACAAATCACATAAGGATAATAGAAAATGCTATTTGCATAATTATATAAATGTAAATACATCAAATTTTTTTATGCATATGTATCATATTTAGAGAGAGAGAGAGAGAGAGAGAGAGAGAGAGAGAGAGAGAGAGAGAGAGAGAGAGAGAAAGAGAGAGAGACTCTGCAATGGTACGACGCCGAATGACTGAGTCGTTCTCATTTTAATAAACAGGAAGTGTAGTGGAAAAGCTAGATTATCCTATTGGGCGCTTGGAAACGGTGCTTAAGCCTTTAAGAGAGCGTCGAAGCTCGACTCGAGGGACAAACAATGGTAGGTAAAAGTAAAGCGTCGTTTGGAGAAGGACGAGGGTTGCCTGCCCACCCCAATAATAAAATGATAAGAACCTTCGTCTTTCCGCCGCCCAAACTTCCTCCCGGCCGAAACCCCATTGTATATAAATGTCGATATTATTGTAACGAGACGCTTTTGATGCCGATTTCGTATCGTGCGCTTGCCGGTATGCGCACACATGATGTATGTACGTCGAAACCGGCCGCAGAAGCGGCGGCGTCCGCACGTACAGCCACGATTATTATCGCGTACACAGACGGGATCGAATCAAACGTTGGAACCGATCATCAGCGGTAGAAATCGATTTTCTCTATTCACAGCAATCCGCTGTTCGTCCTTCCTTTCACTCCGCGTATTGTTCCCGCATTTCGTCCCCGCGTTAGAACGCATCGTAGCAATGGATACGACCTATCATTGAGCAGAGATGGTTGTGAAACTCGCAAAATGAAGCTTTCATCGAAATCTATAACTACCTCTTCCGTATCAAGTTACCGGGAAAGTACAAACAGTTAGAATTTTTGTATTCGAAAAAAAAAATCAATATTAATATTAAGAGACAAGACTTTATTTACAAAATGTGTACCGATTACATAATCGATCGATAAACGTGCAGTTAAAATTTCTATAGTCAGTACATATATAAACCAACAGCCTTACTTTATATCACAAAAATTAGTTTTAATTTCATTGACAAATATTTAATTCTTCACAAGCATTTAGTGTCTTGTACATATATCTATGTTTTATATTAGACAAAATAGAGGAAAATAAAAAGATCTAAATAAAAGATCTACATAATTCCCGAGCTTGAGTTCCATAAAAGGAATTCAATTTATATCGATTAATCGATTGTATTCATCGCTCTTCTGCGAAAGGTAACATTAAGATGTTAATTTGCGGAAAGCGTGCAAAGAGAAAACAATATACATATTTTGTATACAAATTAGCTGCGAGATCTATTCAAATTTAGACTTGAACTTTTTCTTTAAAAAAAAAATTAATAAGATGCACATCGAATGCCGCATGACCAACAAAGTCTATTCAAAATAACGAGAAAAATGTGTTTTCAAACACTTTTAGCTAAATCAAATAAATTAACATTTTTGTGTTGATATAATGCCTAAAAAATATGATGCCAAAATTAAATTTTTATACATAATAATATCGAAATCATCCATAATAAATTTATTTTATGTGTGATTTTGATACGTATGATATATTTATATTTTTAAGTTGATGCATTCCGATAAACATTATACTTACACACTTATCGAATTGTAGCTAATATTTATAGGAATCCTTCCGTGTTAGGCTGAAACATGCACACGCATTAGCATTATCAGCATATAATTTTAGAACAGATAATCCTTTAGTCACGCGACAAGCAACATGCATCGGCAGCCGGTTTGTTCACCTTACACTAAACTCTTGCGATCAGTAGTGCTTCCTTGAAAAAAAAAAATACAAATAGACAAAATGAAGTCGTTAGAGAGGAGAGATGGATACACTATCAATCGCAGAGCTGACAGAAGATGAACGAGTCGGCCTTAAATTATTGATAATTATCGATCCAGGAGACCGAGAATCTCTAATTTTATAGATCCCGCAGAAAAAAAATTTCTACGCACATTTATTCTTGTTTTCTCAATATACGTCTTAAGATTCTTCCTTAAAACTTATTCGTTACTACCATCCTGTGCTGCATATTTTTAAACAATCGGTCATTATTGGAAATACCAAAATTTTTGACAAAAAGTAATTATATATATATATATATGTCGATGTTTCGTACATAAAATAATTATTCTCAATCCAAATCATTATTCAATGTTTTGACAAAATTATTTCACGTTTGAAACTTATTTAAAGTAAATCTTCTTTTCTGTTAAAATTTTTTCAACTTTTTAATTATCCAAGAAATATTATGCTGTCATTCGTTTCTCGTGCGATGCTTCAAGATGCTGACGTCGTCTTTTTCTTCCTATGTTCGCAGCCCACAGTTTCTCGTTTTACTCGTAGATTGCACGGTTTCTTTTGCGGAGAACAATAATGTACGCCAGTGGGACAGGAATATTTCTTCTTCAACAGACACGGTTGTGTCGAAGGTCGCTTATTTATCGCTTTCGTCTCGTAACACGGACACGAGCCAGGATGTACTTTGGGTGGTGGTGGACAGGGACAAAGTACGATAGGTGTGTTCGGTGGCTTCGGCAATGGAAGCGGAGTACAAATTTGTTTCTTTTTGCCGTTAGTCAATTTAGTTTTCATATCAGATGTGTCATCTTTATGGAAGTGTTCCACAGGTGGACACGGCTTAGGCTTCGCAAATTTCGGCGGGGCGCACGTTACCTTTGCGTACTCCATCTTCGGCGGTGAGACAGTTCGAGGCAGTTCGCACTTGCTTATTGGCAGGCAAGTCTTTCTACACTCGGCATCCACGATCTTTTTCTCTATCTTCGGTTTTTGTTTCGTCTTCTTGTTTCGCTGCGACTTATCGCACTTAACCTTTTCTCGGTGAAAAACGTCGCTCTTTTCCTTGCAAGATTTACCACACTCATCAGTCTTCTTTATCTCGGTCGGTTTGCAGATTTTATCCATCTTCTTGCAAGCGGAAGGCTTCTTAGAATCTGATTTACCAAATGGAAACAAAGAGCTGTGAAATCCTCGCCGGTGAAGAAAGCCACGCCTATGCGGAAAAATCGGATAACTGAGACCGCGATGGGCGGACGTCTTATACGTTTTATTCGTTTGTAGTTTTGGAAGCTTCTTGGATACTTGCAAAATGTTTTTGGATACATTTCGTGAGCACTGTGAAAGTGAATGTGCACCAGTTGAACGAGACATAGAACATAATAAAAAATATTGCTTGCAAAGTTCTGGGGATAGGAGTTTCCATCTTAATAGATTTTTTAGACATGTTAAATGTTTAGAAGACGGTGCTGATGATTTTGAGCTTTCCAGACATTCCAGATATTGTAAATTCGTCTCACGACAGTTTTTTAAAAACAGCGACTTCTTTACAAATTTCGAATATAAAGTGGAAAAACGTAACAAATTGACTAATTTAAGATAACAGAGTAGCGATGACAAAGTATGATGACAAGATAGAAAATACTTCTCAATAAATCCATAAAATTTTAACAATGGTAGACAAGGGATTGTCGAATAGCAGGCTGACATTGTCAACGCTTCATTTGGAGGCAGCAATTTACATTTCGTCAAGAACGAACGTTTCAAAAAATGTTTTCTTGATTGTTCGTGAATACGATCAAATGCTTTATGTCTTAAAAAGATATTTCCAAGCTTGAAGGAACTAAAATCTCTCGTGCAAATCAATCTTGAATCGAGCATATTCATCGAATAGACTTTATAGTTCCATCGATTAAATCTGAATTCTTCTGTTCCAAAGATAGGCCTCGGTAGACTTTTTAGGAAAACTTCCGTTTGTACGAACTTTAGCTTCTGGATAGCCTGCAGGATTCAGAAAAAGAGATGAAGATAAAGAAATATATACATATCTATATTTTTCTAGAAATAACAACAGCTCTCTGTTTCCATCAGACAACGATATTTATGATAGCCGCTGATGCCTCCACATACCTTCTGTCTCTTACTGACTCGATTCAGCATTTCTCTTTCTTGCATGGTTTCTTGGGTGGGCATTGGGTAACGCAGAATGGCTTTTTTTTGGGTTTTGGCTTGGAGGGATAACCCGGTGGTTCGGCGGGCTGACAGGGGCCCTTCGGTGGATCGCACGGATTCTTTTTTGATTGACCAGGCGAATCTTCGCCACAGTCTGGTTCACCTAGCCGCAATACTCTGCCACTAACTGCCTGCTGGTTTTTACGTATTAATTCGTGGAGGATTTTGCTGCACTTCCTCAATAATCTCGCGGTAATCCCGACCAGCGCTCTTGGCCCACCTCCCTCCTTTAGAGAGTTTAACAAGACAAAAGCAAAGCTCTTGTATTCTTTTATGGGTAAAGAATGAAAATAATGATTTAATGCGAATTTAAAGTTCACGAATATAATAGAAAAGCTGTAATCTAGCGTAATGCTTACATGCTTACAAAGAGATCCCCTGGCTTACACAAAAAATCAAAGGATCAATTCATTGATTCGTTGGTTTTGTTTTCATTGATTCGTTGTTCTGGTTTTCATTGGTGAGCTTTTTTTCCTTTTTCCCATCCGTCGCAGCCTCGATTTTCTGTGCTTCATGTTTAGATCGGAAAATTCGACGCTTGAACTCCGTTACTTTCTCGATCAGAGTTTGCAATTTTTCAACAGCGTCCTTGTTGGAAACTTTCTCTGACATCAGCATTATTCGATCAGGCGCTGTCAGTTCTTCAATACTTGAAAAATGTACGCGTGTGATAAACCTCGTTAATGGATCTCCATTGACGTATTTGTTATTTTCAAACAACAGCATCGTCGGCTCGAAATTGTCGTATTCATCGTCGATAATCGGCGGTTCTTTACTAGGCTTTTTTTTACCTATTTGATAGTCATCTATACCAATCTCTTCTTCATATTCTTCACCTTGAGGGAAATAATCGTCGTTGGCATCGTACGTCAACGTTGATTCCTTTGATTCATCTGATTCTTTAAACTCACAATCGCTACAATAGCGAAGATCAGTGACAAAATGCAAAAAAGAAGAATTGGAGCAATCCTTGCGATTGATTTTCGAATTGGAATCTTTAATTCCCGTAAACTGTTGATACGAATTGATGATCGATAGAAAATCTCTGTCGGGTTGGATCTGATTGGACTCGATCAATTTTCCGTTTTCCGCTATTTTTACTGCAGATGTCATCGATGAACTTGAACTATCTCTTCTCTGCAGAGAGATGACGATCAAAGCGATCAGAAATAGAATTTATAATAATTCATTATTTTTGAATAAGATATCCTTTTTCATCTATATGTGTTGTAAGATTTTGAATAGTTTAAAGTAGACAATTCAAGAAAAAGAGGCAGAAGGGAGGTGGAGCCACAGCGATCACTTTTTCAAAACATTCTTGCGTGTTTTTAACTTATGTTTGGATACTAATTTTTTAAATTTAATTCCGTTCAATTTTATTTAAAAAACTTGTAAATAAAATGTACTCAAATACGAAAGATATCGTTACAATTTCATAAATTTTTATCAAATGAAAAAAAAAAAATTAAATTCCCCTTTACAAAAATATAATAATAAATATTCCAAAAACTTACTTCGTCTATTATTCCAGATTTTCGAACCTTGACAGTCAAATTTTCTGGTTGTGGCTGAAATATAAAATTATATCATATAATTGTTTCGTTAGGGTATTTTCATGATTTCTACAATTAAAAGAGTATAACTAAAAAATGTTAATGCTGTGTAAAAAATATAATATTTATTATTATTCACAGATATTTATATATGACAGAACGTATTATATACTTATATAAATACTTCACAGATGTGAGATATAAAAACAATGTCTTTTTAAGAGTAATTTAGTACATCGATATAAACTAGATTTCTTTCCGAAATTTATTTTAAAATTAACATAGATTTTTTCTAATTAATACTTGCTGAAAAATTGTTCAATTCTGCTATAATTTCTATACATACAAAACGCATAAATGAAATAATTTCAAGAGCCTTTTCGTTTTGTGTCATCAGAACATTCTGGAAGCTTTTTAACAGTTGGACACGGTTTCTTCTCACATGGATCAACTTTTTTAATCTCCGAACAATCAGGCTTTTTTATTTCTTCTTTCTTTTTTATTTCTTTTTTCTTCTCAGGTTCTTCTTTCGTCTTAATATCTTTTTTCTTTTCTAACCTACATGGACTTGTATCATGCAGTTCATAACCGTCTTTCTTCTTGATGTCTCTTTTCTTCTCTAACCTACATGGACTTGCATCATGCAGTTCATAACAAGTTTGTTCTTGCTTCAAGGAATGTGATTTACTGCAAGGATCTGCTTCTGTTCTAGAAGTATCATCCTTTTCCTTTTTACACGGGGCTTTTTGGACCTCCACCTTTCGTTCGCGAGGTTGTTCACGGCAAAGATCTTTTTCTGTTCTAGGAATATCATCCTTTTTCGGTTTACATGGATCTTCTTGAATCTCCACCTTTCGTTCGCGAGGTTTACGGCAATCGCGAGTATATTTTTTATCGCAAGAACTCTTTCTTCTTTTGCAAGAAACTACATTTTGTCTCTTGCCTGCCCATTTTATTCTCCCAGAGCAATCAGTTTTCTTTTTCTCGCATATCTTTTCTCTCTTCTGATATTTATCTTCCATCTTTCCACACGACTTTTCTCTTCTCTTACAAATATCATTCTTCGCTCTATTCTTCTTAAGAGTTCTTTTCCGCTGCATACAATATTCCTGTATCTTCCTCCGAATGCCGGCCTTCGGTTTATCAACTTCGAAATCCTTCGACGCAAAGAGAATGTTGTTGGAAATTATATCGGAAAATGGAATCACTTGATTCACTACAAAAATATTTTCCAAACAATACGAGTCCGATGCGGTTGTCGAATGGAATCGGATTTTGGCGTGCAGGTTTAGGAGTATGGATTTGATTTTGGAGCATGTTCGTTGAATCCAATTTTCCTGTTCAACGACATTTAACGTATCGTCCGTCATTGTTTCGCTATCGCAATTGACTGAAATTACTTCGCCATTATTTTCACGCTTGTAATTTATGAAATTTAACGAAGACAAAGGAAATTTAATGCGACCGTAAATCTCATGTAATAATCTCAATTTATTATTCAATAGCACTTCTGTGTGTGGTATCGACCAATCGGTCGATTTCTCTGCTCCTTTACAGCGTACTTCTATATTTGGAAGTATACTAACATTTCTAAATTTCTTCATCAATCTTGCTGGCTTTTTACCACGATTGAACAAAGACGTCGGCAACAATTGATGATCATTTTCTTTCGCAACGAGTGCACTGCAGGATAAATGTCTGATTTTTCTTGTTTTTTCAATCGATCGATGCTTCTTTGCGAATTTCGCTTCTGGGATGAAATTCAGGTCATACTCCTGAAACGATGGATATGTCAAGTCGGAGAACCACTTGCAAATCGGGATGGTGGCGTAATCTCTTTGCCAGGTTTTCATGTTGCTGGAACCCGTCTCACTCAGGACTCTAGCATAAAGACGCATCCTGCTGCACGCGTTGCCCGCCTGAGGACAGACGGAGACACGATTTCAAGATCGGTTCTCTTGTAGGCCTTTTCTTTGTTAAAGATTTACATTTAGCCGCTGGTCTTCAGCATCGATTAACTTTATTCGTAGATTAGCTAATTTTATATCCCAATCTATATCTCGTTACTTTTTGTAAAATCTGAGAGCGTCATTTCGTTTGATACATCTTCAGTGCATGCGTCTTCAGACGTTTATTACCATTTTTTGGAACTTTACAATTATTTTAATATTTGCACTATGCATCATGTTGTTTATTTTATTTATGTGATGATTTGAACAATTTTAAATGCCCAAGAAAATCTTGCTAAATAAAGCATCTTACAAAAATGACAAATATGTATAAAACTATAATTTCTTCGCAATAGTGCACTATACCATCAAAAAAAAGTGAAAGTTGATACTGACTGTACATCACATACTTAAACGCGAAAATATGCGGATTTTACGGTTCTTATTGTTCTATACTAGTAAAGTGGTAATACAGTTTAAGATTTATGTTACAATATATAGTTAATAAAATATATATATAGTTATTAAAATATATATAGTTATAAAAATAGATATATCTCTGAAATTGAGATATTAGGTATATCGAATACGGAAATCAATATTTTTGATATCTACAGATAAATAGATAGAAAGAAAGAGAGGAGAGAGAGAGAGAGATTTTATAAAATTTAGTCATTTTAATTTCTTTTAAAAATCTAGCTTCGCGATCGTTATAGGCTTTTTATTTCTATTTCTTAATTTTTTACTCGTATATACAATAAAACATAATTTTACTTTGTATAATAATATTTCACACAATTAAGTGTTCAATATATTACAATTATTTATATATTACGATTATTTTTACCTCTGCTTATCACAATTAAAGTTAATTAATATTTATATAAGAATAGCTCGTTAAGTACAGCTTTACATTAATTATATTCCTTAAAGTAAATAATTCTATCAAGTAAAATTTTTTTGGATATGTCGTAAATTTGAAATATAAATATTATAGATTAATTTTTCTCTTATATTTGTTTTTCTCTTACCTTTGGCATTAATTCTTCAATAGGTATTAATGGACTGTTAAATGCTGGAACTTTTTCAGCTATTGGTAAACGGTAAAGAGCTTCCACAAGTTTCTCTGTTTGATTCTACATAAAAACCGATTATTTTACAATATAATTTTTTTTACATTTAATGTCCAATATTCAATCTTTTACATTTAAATATGCAACAGTTTTACTTAATATTTAAACTTAATTATCTTATTTTAAACAAAAGATAGCATTAATTCTAAATAATAACAATTCTAAATAAAAAATAATTCTAAAACAGGGAGACAAATTCATTAGTTCTATATTTAAAAAATATAGTTTATGGTTTAATATTAGCAAAACAAAATGTTTACACGTAATTAATAAAAACGTTAATATATTAAATATAATTAATAAATTTGAATACGCTGTAACATATATATATATATATATATATATATATATATATATATACACACACAAATGAATATGCGTTCAATAATAAAGTTTATTCTTTATCTTTCCATTATTTCCTTGATGGTTATTATTGTCTGTTTGTCTCGTGCTGTTAATTACTGCATTTGAATGATTGTTTTCCTCCAAACAGGATTTTTTTTCATTGTTAGCATTTCCGATGGCTATTTAATTGATGTTCATTTTTTTACTAACACACACACACACACACACACACACACACACATTTAAAATATTTTTCTTTGATAAAAATTGTTAATTACAATGATAATTTGTTTAATTTACATATATTAAATCTTTTTATATGAAATATGAACAGTGGATCCACTTACAATAGGTTTGAATGGTTTTTCATCATAGAAATTGTAAATCGGCAAAGGGCTATTGACAGCTGCCACATCGTATAACGCAATGGCATTCAGTTTCACGTTATTTCTTAATAATTGAGATAAAATTTGACTGATTTCTCCAACGCCACCACTTAGAGCAATCTAAATTGGCATTTTTAATTATATCGACGTATTAATAAAAAATATAAAGAAATATATAATATATATGATAATGAACCGGGTAGAAATGTATAAAATAAAAATTTCTCAATGTCAGAACTTAATTAAATCGTAAATACCTTGAAATTCTTTTCAGCAGCATGGATTTGGTATGATCCAACGGACTTCACAATTGATTTTGCGGCTCGGGAAAACATGGTTAAGTATACTAAAATAACTTAAAAATTTTTTAACGTCTTCATCGGACGTCCGACATGTTCAAAATGATTGGGCAATGAGCACACGGCGTTTGTTACAAATAAACATCGATCCTTTCAATTTCAACTGTTCGAATATGTAAAGCAAAAATTAAGTATTGTATAATTTTACATTCGATGCTTTATTATACAAATATATCGTATATAAATGTTATTAGAAAATGCTTACATTAAATAAATTAATAAATAATTTTACATTTTAAATAAAATTAAAATACTTTAAAAAATAAGTACTTTAAAATATTATAATTTTAAAACGTTTTATAAAATGCTTTATGTGTTTGAATACTATTAAATTAATTCACAACAAAATCTTTATTATAAAAATTCAAGCAAATGTACGTTAAATTTATTGAATTTATATAAAACTGAATTAAATAACTGAATTTTAATTAAAATGCATTTTAAAATAATAATTTTTTAATATACGTATCTACATTTTTGTATGTAATGTGTAATTAATATGAATTCATATTTTACACTGCTGCAGTCATCTAGTATTGCAGCAAGAAAACAGAAACTCGATAAAACTGTTATTGGCCATAATTCATAAGACTGTTAAATATGATCATTCCTATTATCAACTGCTACTCTACTAGTCCTCTGAAATACCGACATAGGATATCGATCACTTATCCTTAAATGATATCACAATAACGTTGAGTTGTTTCATCTCTATAATAACTATAGTCTAAAATGCAATTTACTATTTTATCATTCTCAGTAGAAAATATAATATTATTAAAAAATATTAAGACATTCTTTAGATATACATATAAATTCTTTCAAATAAATAAACATATTCACATTTTGATTAAGAACAATACTTTTATACAACATTATAAAGGGAAAATAAAAAAAAATATAAAATATATAAAATAATTTTAAATATATTAATTAGGTTATTAATAAAAATTTGTACATGAAGAAATTTAAGTATAATGAAGGACATGAAGGAATGTAAATATAAAAATAAATAAATGAATAGCTTCCTTTAATTTTAACTATTTAATTTATGTACTCTTCATACAATACATGTAGTATTCCATAAAACAGAAAGAACAAATTTTACAGAAATATATAAATAAATAGCCTTTTTTAATTTAAAAATTATTTAATTTACTTACATTTTATGGCAACATTCCATAAAATAGGTAAACAGAATATTTAACAATTAAGACATATTTAATTTTATTCCGATACGCATATACATTTTATTAGTAACTATATTAGTATCTGTAAATAATATGTATTAAATGTACAAAGCAATATTCAATCCTGTACACACATAATTGTTAAATTAAAAGGCATGATAATATATCGCACCATCATATGTATTTTTTTCTTGATTAGTAACCTTCGTCTGAGCACGTGATATTGTAGGCAGGATATTTTTTCTTCAATAACTCGACCGACACTTGATGATCAGCTTTGCCAAAACCCTGTGAACCGAATTAGTCAAAATTAACTGTCTGTTACATCCTCTAAAAATAAACGTATAATACGATAACGTCGTGTCATTCATGACCTTTACGTCACAAAGTTGAAGCCATTTTATCACGTTAAATTAACATATTCACTAACATAATAAATTAGTTGGTAGCAATTGTTACGAGAATAGACTTCGCCGTCATTCAATTTTACATGAACACATGATTTTACATGAAGTGTATATACTTGACATCGTCAGAGCCATCGCGTTGACTGCAGCAATGCGCAAAAGGAGAAGGAAATAAAAAGTAATAAAGTGAAAATTAAGCTTCCGGATATCTTTTAAAATTGTGATGATAAACTGAATATACTGTAATTTAAAGAAAGCTGAATGTAAGCGCTGGAAAAAGACTTTCAGAAGAAAAGTTCTGAGATTGAAAGAAAAATATTATAAATACACCAAATACCGCATATTAATAAATTAATAGATTTCGTTATATTAATTATAAGTTGTATACTTGTGTTTACAATAATGTACTTATATAGAATTATAATTCAGTATCAATAATATTGAATTAATCCTCTATGCGGTTACAAGAAATTTCGCATTTCCCGTCCGCAACCTAGATTTTTAAGCTTCAATTTTTTTACCTATCAGAATTCACAATCAAAATACTGACTATACCTTCAAAGTTCAACTTGGCCAACAAAAGATTACCTATTATTAACGTTACGTATTCTTTTTTCTCTTTCTAATTGATCATGCATAGCAAGAATCATAATTGCATAAAATTTTATAGTTTTTAATCTTACAGTAAAATCACAGTTGTTATAAATATAAATAAAATAACTTGATACTTTTTAATTTTTTCATACATAATATCGTTACTCTGCGCAAATTTAACGGTATTAAGCCACGATCTCATAGGATAAGGAATAATCTGCAAGAAGACAGAAGTGGATAAAATACGTCCCTGTTGCTTGTAATTGTGCGATACGAAAACAGAGCACATCAAGGACGATGTTGAAATTATTCTCCCCCGGGCGTTGTCGGATTTAAAGAGGGCGATCCTCTTTAAATCTACTAATATCACTTCATTTCTATCTGGGGGCTCTTTAGTTTTTTAATATATACCCTCGAATCTTTTTTCTAAATCTCACGTTTAAAAAAATATTTTCTTGTCAATTTTCCGCGAATCTCGTAATATGAATTATCCATTTTCCAGGATGGATTGCGAAATTCAATTTAAATTCTTGATTAAATAATTCTGAACGCTTCAGCTGCTTTAAGATATATCAGCTTGTTCATTCCTTATATTTAATATCTATATAGCACTTCGATATTTCCTTTGGAATAGAATGAATATGCAGCATTATGTTGAGGCGTTCATATCATATGGTATTTTACGAAACGCGCGCAACTTCGCAATATCTATCGTACTTTCTCTTATACAACTTAAATTTATTTACTAAAGATAACGATAACCTGATAGCGTCCTTACTTTCGTCCTTACAAATTGCAACTTGCAGCCAAATTGAAGTTATACAACTCTTTATGTAATAAACTCAACGCAGTATTCAAATTTACATCGAGAAAGGTTACTAGTAGTAATCCTGATGTGACGTCAAGGCAAAATTTCAAAGAAATTTTGTCAAAAAATGACAGACTTAAAGCAATGGATTTTAATTAAAATTAACTATCTATTTTTTTGTCGAATAAATCAAGTAAATATTCAAATATAAGATGTCTATACGTGATGATAATTGTCGATGTAATAATATGACATTATAAAATTTATGTACGGAAAAGAAAAGAAAATTAAAAAAGATAAAATACTGTTTTAAATAAGAGCGTAAAAGAAGTTTCGTAATAAAAAAACATAATGCTTGATCTAGTACATTACGCGATAAAATACTAGCACGCTATAAAATTAAATGATGTCGTGTGAAAGTAAAAACTTATGACACCGCCTGAGTTTTTGCAATACACTCGTAATAATTGTCTTGTACTATTTATGCGAGATACCTACGATCGTAAATGCCATAGCTCGATAAAATCCAACGGCGTTATGGAAGTCGACGGACAAGTTTACGTAAATGCAATTGCAATTTTACGCTTCGAGGTCGATCGATCAGCTTCAAGGTTTATAATATCTGGAAACGTTTCGTGGCGAAATAGCGGGATTTTTGTATTTTTTACTGTTGAATACAAAAGTCTATCTTAATATCGATTTACTGATTACATTACTCAGTAAAAAAATCAACTTTTTTTTCTCTCTCTCTAAAATGCCATAACTTATATTTTAAAGATTTTTTCACGCTAAACATATAATAATGTATAAAATAGATAAAAAATTACTTCAATTTAATATTACGCCCCAATTTTTTAAATCCTGATGTATTACGACGGCATCGTGTTTGGTGTGAAAAACTTTAAAGTATATTTTATATATATATATATATATACATATATATATACTTAAAAAAATGATAAAAATTATTTTTGGCTTATTTCATTAATATATTCAATATTTCCTTAATATATTCAAAATGTCGATGTGTTACACAAATTCTATCAATCATGTTCAACGAGAAAAAAATGTTATGGAATATGTATTATGACACATTTCGCAAAAAATTGGGGTGTTAAACAGTGTTATTGAAAAAGACACTTTTTTAGAATTGTGCTCAGTTTAAATTTAAAGAAGAATCGATATTACGTTTCAAATTCTTTTCCTATTGTTTCAACTATTGCGTTTACGGTAACATAATAAGAGATATTGGGAATGTATAAGGACTATACTTCACAGAAAGAAATTTCTCCTTTACACGTACAATTCAACACTGATAAAATGCATGTAACTTCCTATTCGATTATATTGCGTCAGAGGCACCAATTCTGTCGGTCGAACGAATTTAATCCGCTAAAGTTCAACATACGATGCTGAACGTGGGTGTGAAGCTCGTAATAAGCAACAGAATGGGGTGAAAATGTTTATGCGCCTTTAATCATATAGGTATTCCTCTGTCCGCATTTAAAGCCACCACCTGATATTAGGAATATATCACGATTCACTCCAGACATTCATATCGATCAATTGTCAATCTTACTTTGATAAGTACGAACATAATTTCGATTAACAAAGGATCTCCGCATTGGAAAATGTATAAAATATATACTATTGTACATGCAGCGTACAATATTCCGTAGTGAATAATAAGAATTAAATAGAAAATACAAAATAAACAAAATGACAATTGAAAATTCGAACAGCTGTTATTTTGTAATAAACAGACAAAAATGGACGAAATGCTATACTTATTATAACAGAAATCCGTTATTTTTATTAAAGTAAAAACATACATACGGTAAAAATAAACTATTTTTATGTCGGTTAAATAAAGGACATATGAAATTGCTCAAATAATAAATATACCGATAAATTTCAGACTAAATTCCAGGACTTACTTGCGAATATCCATAAACTTTGATGGTTTTTTCGTCGGGGTCGTGCTCAATTCTACCACCACCTACACAATTCGCTTGTAGACCAGCATGTTTCTTGATTTGTTCGTCTACTTCGTCAAATATATCAGCTAAAACAGAAATAAAATAACGTGCATGATAATGGAATCCAATATAATTTTAAGGCTCCGAACCCATTAGTTGGATGTAATTACAAAATGAAGTGCTTAAGTAACTTATAGCATTAACATGTAGGATTGGATTAATTTGTGACATTAATATTCTAGCTCAAGTTTGCGATTCCGTTTCCAGCGACCTAATAAATTAAATCGGCGGGTATGTTAAGTGAGCACCCCAACTATAGGGGTGCTATACTCAGGAGTTCTGATTAGAGTTCCCACTTCCTTTTGACGAGACGAAGAGTTCCCTATAGTTAATAACAAGAGTTCCGTTCAATAAACATTTTTTTTACATTTTTTAAAAATGGGGTGCTAACTTTTTATCGAATTTCGAGGTGGAATAGTTCTGAGCGGCTTAATAGCTTCAATTTGCGATTGCCTAGAGTTCCTGATAAATAAAAAAAATTTTCGAATAATAAAAAAAAACTTAAAAATTTTTGAAAAATTAATTTTTAGATACAATAGTTCTGATGATAATTCCTGTTTCTTTTTGACGATACGAAGAGTTATCTATGATTTTTAATGACAATTGCGCTTAATAATAATTTTTTAATAATTTTTTAAAAATGGGGTGCTAACTTTTTAACGAAATTCAAGGTCGCATAGTTCTGATCAGCTTAACAGAACTATTTTGTGAATACCTAGAGTTCTTGATACATAAAAAACATTTTTTAAATATAATAAAGTTTAAAAAAAATAGTGAAAATCTATGAAAATTTTTTTGAGAGTACCGAGTAGTTCTGAGTAGCGTTTCTTGTAGTTCTCGACTTGTTATTAACTATAGGGAACTCTTCGTCTCGTCAAAAGGAAGTGGGAACTCTAATCAGAACTCCTGAGTACTATAGTTGGGGTGCTAACTTAACATACTCTAAATCGGCGCATAATTTTTAGAACTAAAATAGCGCATGAATATTACTAATAAGATGCCTTTTCTTATTTGATTTGTACCAAACTATTTGTTCTCTTGTAGTTAACACGTTTATTGTATTATCAAATTTTTTTTAAGTACTTGTAAAAAATAAAGTTACATAATATAAAATTTTGACTTACACATGAATAGCTAGACAACAACATACAGTTAAAAAAAATGTAATTTAATACAGTACACTATGAATATAGACTTATTTAATCATATTACATAATATTTTAGTATCATATGCTTACAATAATAAAAATTTTAGTATGAGAGTAAGACATAATATAAAAGTTAGACATGCACGACACGAAAGGTTTATTATCCTTTAAAAAAAATTTTTTTAAATATTTAATATAATTATATATTTTTTCAAACAGTTTCTTGCATAGCTCAATAGAAAGATATATTTAAACGATGAACTTTTCTACTTCAAATATAAACAGCAAAGTTATTAAAGGGAAGATTTGACGAACACAGAATGGATTACGCTGAAAATAAATAGAATCACGATCGTCCTATATCCTACATCAATAAGTTATTATTGCTCCCATTTCAAAGAATAGCTAAGACGACAGCTGTAATTTCCTCTTTTTCCATCACTTTCCTCTCCCCTCTCTCTCTCAAAAGTTACAAAAATTTATATCGAAGTACCAATCGCGTATAAATACTACAATACTTGGAAACGAACGCTAATTGCGATTTCTACCCTAAGAAAAAGAAGGAAAAAAATGCAACTTCTGTCCCGTTTGGATGGTCCTCATACGATCGATATCATCACAAATTGCACGTTTCTCGGTAAATGACACAGAAGCGCTTCTCATCTGAAACGCGGTACGAATCCATGACAAAAATCCACACACGACTATAGGGTAAGTATCGGTCAATCAAGCACCATTGTGTGTCACCAATGTCCGCCCGTGTCCACCCGATACGAAAAAGTTAAAAGGAAGGATTTAGTATCGATTTGTGGAAAAATCGAGAAAAACACATGTATATCTGTGCATACATGACGCATGCCACGTATAAGAAACATTCTTTGAAACGCGCGCTGTTGTATTATATATGTGCTATAACGCGTTAAAGTATATTTCACGTGCGCGAGATCAAACAGACGGTAAAGGCAGGATTTTTCCCGATAAAAAAAAAAGCCGAATCAGAGCATCACGCAAAACATATAAAAAAAACTTGTCGTTCTACGACAGTCGCGCAGCACAAGGATTTCTATTAAATTTATTGACACACGCTACCTCACGCGTATTTCAAAACCTTCGTAGGTGTCCTGCTTCGAAAACACATAATTTCTATTATTTTTCAATTTTATATTAAATATCATATAATATAAAAATAATAATTTATATATATATATATATATTTATAACATATACTAAATATACATAAAAATTACATTTTATATATATATTTAATATTTAGATTTCTCTCTCTTATTATTTCTAAATGTCACTTTTTACCTCGATCAAAGCAAACAAATAAGAAAGAAGAAATATTCTAATGGAATAAAGTAAATATAAAAAGTTATGACATTGTAATCTCGTTAAATTCTTAGATTCAGAATACATGTCTGTTTCAAAAATTTAATCATACATATTGCAGAAGACACATAAATAATAAAACCGAGAATTATTTTTCATTTTCCATAAGAAATGATGAAAATGTGCAGATCCTAAGAATTTTAAATTCGAAAAATTGAAAATTTTTTAGAAGTGCCTTCCAAACTTCATTTTTTCAAAGTTATAAAGAAATTCGGTCTAAATCGAGCATTAATAAAATGTTTTCATAAAATAAATTTCAAGTTTACAATGTTAGTACAGCATAAAATAAAAATATATAAAGAATATAACGAGATCACACAATATGCATAACTTTTTATATTTATTTTGTTCCATTAGAATATTTCTCCTCTCTTATTTGTTTGTTATGATATAAATGGAGAATCTTCGTATTTCCTCGTTACTCGAATGAGCACGTTTCGCAACAAGTAACGCACTTACTGATTGGATCACGTTGTTGCCTCAGGAGTCAAACAGTATTACGGATAAGACATTCTATACAAAACCTATAAAAAGATCTCCCGTTTCCACGAAAAAAAAATTCTTAATTTTCAACTTACAAAATCTATTATAAGTAAAAATTATATGATTTTTACTTTCGCGCGACCCTCTTCTTCTACAAACATAATTGACAAAGTAAAGTTTCAATAAGCGCACAATTCTTTGATTGTTTGGTAACATTTGTAATAAGAAAAATTATACTTAAAAAAATTATTTTATAATTATCTCAATTATAATTTCAAATATAATTTTTCTAATTATTACATAATTAATTAATTATTAAATAACTACACCAATTATGTTCTTAAAAATATTTCGATCATGTTTGTTTCCTAAATTAATTATTGAGATCTATATTCGTTAAACCGGAGTTTAATGCAGGATAATATTGAAATTGTAAATATTTCTAATGGATATCCAATAATAAATAAAAACTACATAATAAAATGTAAATAAAAAGGACGACAATTTTTTCTTTTATTTATTTATTACTCACATCAGCTGCGATAGATAAAAATTAAATGAAAACATTACAAATGAAAATAACATAAACCTTTGTTAATTATTTAGAGAACCGTCGCGAATTATTAACGGTTCCCGACAATGTGATCTTTGCGAAACCGAAGGCGAAAATCGTGTTTTTACTAAACGAAAAAAAAAGAGAGATAAAAAAATCGTCAGAACAAGGAAGATCAGAACAGACAGTTTCATCCCTATCCCAATGTTCATGAGCCTTTAACTTCCACAAAAGCGCACATATCTTACCGTTCTGGTTCTGTGTTGCCCATTAAGAATCCTCCCCTTTCAGAAAACGAGAATCAAGGACAAAAAATAAAGGAAATAGCGTACGCAAGGGAATTTACTCAAAGAGACATAAAGACGAGAGATAATAGGAAAAATGATCGGAAACCCCAACGTACGGAAATCAGCACAAATAGAGAAATATCTATAAACATAAATAATATAAAAAAATGATACATCATTTTACGACAAACGGATCATCAAATTGATTACTGAGGAAAATACATCGATTGTTACGCACTATAAAACTCCCAAAACGTGTTAATATTAGATCTGAATTATTATCTATTATAGAGAAACATTAGTTACCTCTATAAATATTACGAAAATAGCGTGTCATAAATTAATAAGTAATACAAATCGACAGAGACACTTAATAATAAGCAGAATAATCTTAACTAATATTTCAAAAAACGAAGCATAAGAATTACAACTTACTTTGCATACATGTATTCGTAATAAACATTTTAATAATGAAATAGCGATCTAAAAGTTTAATAAATTAATTTAGAATGTATGTTTTTTATATAAAATACTTTTTACTCACATTACACTATAAATAATTAAACAAATACTCAATATATTTATTCATAAAAAATTTGCAGACTATTTACAAATTTTGTTTCATAATCTAAGAGATTCAAAAAAGTATTATCCTTATCAATTTATCCAAATCTGTTTTATATACATATAAAAAGAAACTTATAAATTATGAATTCGTTCAACTTTTACTTCAAGATCTGCATACCACATTTGAAATAATTCTTGTAAAAATTCTGCAAAGCATTTTAGTATCAATGAATTATTTTAAAACCAATTAATTTATATTATATAACTTTAATAAATACAACTTAAAATTAATTAATCAGATTTTATCGATACCTTCTTATCGCTATTTGATGTCTACTTTCGTCTATCAACTGCTAGCAAGGTTGAGAAGTTCGACAAGTTTATACAAGACCTATCAGGAGAGATGCAACTGTATAGATCGACAAAACCAACCTTACCTGCGGTATACGACGTCTAATAAATTTCTTGTTGAACTGTCATTTTTACGATGACAGGATAACAAGAAATAAACAGAAACGAACTTTAAATATATTCTAAACGTCTTTTATACCCGATGTTTTTATCAACAATTTTTCAGTAAACAATGATGAATAGTT